AGAGGAAGTAGTACACACGTGCGAGAACTCTGGTTGGGTGGGTAAAGAGAGCGTACGATCCAATGCAAAACCAGGGGAATTCTGGGATACGGGCGTGGAGGCAGATGGCTGTGGCTTAGAGACGGCCTCCGTTTCCATTGGCTGTTCTTCCCTCGCCCCTGCTCGGTCTTCTGGGGGCAACGAAGTATCCATTGGTTCATCAGCACCTGGCGACGCAAAAGACTTTTAGCTGCACTGACGTGACGCTTGCTGCTCCCTGACTGTAGTTCACTTTGGATAACAGCGTCAGCGTCATGATAAGTAATGTTACTCTTTTACCGTGTTCATGCTCTGGTCCGGTCGGGGAGCTGGGAACAATTAAAGGAGTGTGGCTGAAGTTGTCTGGAGTCGGAGCAACATAATCAGCCGAGCTCCTAGAAAAAAAAAAGACAATGAAATCATGTCATTTACTCGGCTGCACAGTGTGAAGATGGATGAGTGGAGGGTTCACAAGCACGTGTGTGACTTACTGGGACAGACTCTCCTGCACCAGTGTTCCCTGTCCAGACAGATGCAGCAGTCGGAGGGTGTGGGACGGTGTCGGGGTCGGGTGACCCTGCTGCTCCTGCTCAGATACCGTGCTGTCAACTGCAGCTCCTGAGAGCAACACAGACAAGTTACAACTAGTACTAAAGACTGGCTGCGTGTAAAATTACAGAAAACTGTGAACAGCAGGAGCCTTGAAGGGCCTGAGTCTGCAGGAAGTTTGTCTTGGACAGTGACTAGTTTCCATATTTTTTGGCTCAGGGACTTCCTCTTGCTGCTCTCATAGCTTTTTCAGAAGTGAACAGTAATGTGATATTGATCAATACTTGAAATCAAGAGTGTGGAGGGATGTTGTCATGTCAGTCAGAATGCAACGTGTCCTCTGTCAGCATGCTATTCAAACATTACATTTCATTTAGCTGACGCTTTTATCCACAGCCACTTCCAACAAGTGCATCAACCATGAGGGAACAAACTCAGTGAGTGACATGTTAGTGAATCTAAACTAAGACCATCTTCTTAGTCAAGGTGTAGTCAGAAGAGATGTCATAAACTTAATCACTAAATTATTCAAAAGAACATCCGTGGTCTTAGTTCAAGTTTCCTTACATTAAGTTAAAACAAGTTGATTTTTTACTAAATGTCTGTAGATTCATTAGAGGTGTAATATAGTTCATGGGCAAGAGCCTAACATGAGAGTGTGTGAACGTACCCGACTTGTCAGCATCGAACATGTCTTCCTGCGAGGACGGGATGTCACAGTCCAGCTGCTTCTGTTCACCTGAGGCCTGCAGACCCTCAGAGTGCAGCAGAACCTGGACACTCAGCTGTCGGCCTGAAGGAGCTGCAGAGTCTGACGAGCTGCTGGAGCTCACCTCAGATCTGGAGGACAAAGACAAACTGCTAATACCAGATGAGCATCTGGAATGAATGTAGAACCTAAAACACCACATGGATCAGTACCTCGCAGATTTGTTGTCCTGATTCGCTGAAGTCCTGGAGCCGATGCTCTGCTCAGCTGGTGATGAAAAGCAGGTGGAAATGAGATGGACTGTTTAAACCATCAGCTTGGCTGAGATATTGTTATGTTCTATAAATTAGAGGCCTCCGTGATAAAATAACGAAATATAAACAGGAATTTAACGAATACCTAACTTGTTGCGTCTCTCACAGTCTGGCTGCGGGCCGATATCTTCCCCCCGACTGTTCACTGCTTCACTGCACAGATCTTGAGTCTGAGAAAGCTCGAGAAAACCAAACTGAGAGGTTCCCTCTGAGGCACACAGACACGCACACACAGACACGCACACACAGAGACACACACACACGCACACGAGTTTGTTATGAAGGGTGACACACGCGGTAATATTAAGGTCTTAAAATGTGCCATGCTTCATGTGAGAAGAGCTGTTACCTTCAGCCGGACAGCAGTGTGTGGTAGAGTCCGCTCTAGAATCCATATCTGGTTCCTCTGGTGAACTCCTGAAAGAAAAGTGAAGACACTTCACGACTCTGCAGCAGAACAACGTTAATCTTCCAAACTGTCAGGTCCACACGTACTTCTTGTTTGGAGGAGGGCAGATGTTGAGAACTTGACTCTCGTCCTCCTGGAGCGCTGAGCTCAGGTTGACTGCTGTGAGAATCCCTGAATACGGAACAACAGGTTTTTTAGTGTTTAGTTCTAAAGAGAATGAAACAGTGATACTGTATAAATGTTAGATGTACTGTACGAACAGAACTGACCAGCTTCAGCCTGGTTGTTACTCTGGGAACTTTCTGAGTCTGTCTGAGAGCATCTGCTTCCCAGAGGTGAGGAGATCAGTTCCTGTGAAGGGAAGAAAACATTCTCTCATCTCACAGAACTGTTGTTCACAGTGAGTTTCCTCAGAATGGGTGAATGAAACACACAGACAGCTGATCATCAATGACAGGAGCTCACTCTGCACATCCACTGACATTTACTGGAGAATGAAAGAAAACATGCAGCTCACGTTGAGAGAAATTCAACCAGAGTGAGATTAAACCAAATAAGATCAAAGTGTTGAACATTGTTCCTGCTCATCGACAGGACGGACATCTCAACGAGAACGTGAGGGGCTGTTACATGATGCTATCCAGGTCACACTGTCAGGTAGGTAGGTAGTTAGATAGTTGGTTAGTCACATCACATAGTTAGTTAGTCAGATAGTTAGTTAGTTAGATAGTTGGTTAGTCACATCACATAGTTAGTTGGTCACATAGTTAGTTAGGTAGGTAGGTAGTCAGATAGTTGGTTAGTCACATAGTTTGTTAGGTAGTCAGATAGTTGGTTAGTTAGCCAACAACCAAAACATCAGCCACATTCTGAGAAATGTAACACTGATACTTGAAGTGAATATATATATATGTGTGTGTGTGTGTGTGTGTGTGTGTGTGTGTGTGTACACTGAAGTATGAATACTTAGCACAGCGGGTACATCTGTCTCATAGGAGCAGAAAGTACCTGGTATTAAATACAGATGCTAACATTAGAGCCCCGCTCACCAGCACCGGGCTCCGGGAGCTGGGCTGCAGGTTGGACAGGCGCCGGGCCAGCAGGGCTCGGTAGCTGCTCTCAGGATCGTCCTCCAGGGCGACGCTGTCCGGCTGAGAGTCCTCCACGATCAGACACGGGTTGTCGGGCTGCGGGAGGCTGGAGTCCAGGTACCCGGGATCCATGAGGTCAGGAGCCGGGCTATGGTTCACTACACAGCGGGCAGGGAGAGGACGGAGGAGCGGGGATGTTAGCAGCCACCGGCTGGTGTTAGCATGTTAGCTACAGGGAGCTAGCTGCTAATGCCCGACAACAGAGTCGCTCACCTCCGGACAAACGGCCCCTCACCTCCGGACAAACGGCCCCTCACCTCCGGACAAACGGCCCCTCACCTCCGGACAAACGGCCCCTCGCCTCCGGAGCTGCGGACTCTAACACACGTCAACATTTCTGTTTGAACGCTTGTTGTTGTTTTTCTATTTCCGGTAGAACAAAGGCTCTTCTCGGCATTTCGCGGCAAAACGTGCGGGACGCAATTTGATTGGTCTATTTGGGAGTGACGTCACGAGAGACCCCTGGTTTCAGGATCAATTTATATTTATTCTT